CCTTGCGGCGGAGCGGGGAATGTCCCCAGGGCAGCCGTGGGGATCCCAGCCAGGGACCGCGGGCTCGCTGCCTGTCAAGCCGACATCCAGGAGAGGAGCTGGTCTCCCCCAGAAAGCTGCCAGTTCCCGAGGGCAGGAGGGGACTGAGGCCAGAGGAAATCTCAGAAGGGAACACCCCCCGCCCCCCCCTTCAATAGGTAACACTGCCATTAACATTAGAGCTTTCAAAATAACAGAGACATTTTGGGAAACGCTGGGTGGCAAGGATGCCAAAGCTTCCTAGAACATCTGATGCTTCATTCCCAATCCTTTGGGAATCAGTCCCCAGAGCATCCTATACATCCAAGCACACGTGTGCAGGAGGCAACGGGGCTGCTCCTCCTCCAGTTTTTTTTGTAACCAAAGGGGAAACTGAGGCAGCAAACCCGAGCAGACTCACCCACGAGGTGAGGAGTCAGTGTTGGAGGCAAGATGAGCGCTGCAAGCACCGCAACCACCTCTTGTTTTGGGGGGGGGGAAGAGCCCTTTGCCAGGCACAGGCGGGAGCGCTGCAGCCCCGAGGAGGGACGCAGCTCCTGCGTGGGCTGATTTCTACCAGGCACTTTATCTGAAGGAACCCAGTTTCACCAAGAGGGCAGGAATATGCTCTATGTAACAAGGTTCTTTATTAATTTTAACAGAGCAGGGACCTTTCTTCGCACCCGGGAAGCCCTCCTGCTATGTCCGACTTCATCTTTCCCCCCACACACACACTCCAGATCACAGCCTGAACCCCCCCCCACCTTCTCACCGAGCGGGGCAGAGCTGCCCCAGCCCTGCACCCCCCTGCTGGGGGCTGCCAGACAGACCGACCCACGCACGCCAGCTCCCAGGGCAATGGCACAGCGTGTGCCACCCGTTCCCATCCTCATGCCCACGGGAGATGAAGGGAGGTGGGTGGGCTCACCAGCTCCCTGCATCTGGCACAGGGATCCCACCTACGTGCCCTGCTCTGAGCCACGAGGGGAGGCAGCCCAAAGGCATCCCCCCCCCGGCTCTTTCAGGCCAGAGGAGCACATCTCTCCCACCCCCTCCAGCCCCAGGAGGGTTTGCGGCAGCCAGCCAAGGAGAGGGACTGCGGGAGACGGGACAGGCGAGGGCTGCTGCCAGCCCACGGTGCAGGGCCATGGATGGCCGAGAACGGCTCCGGCCGCAGCCATCAGCCCTGCCACCCCGTCAGGCGAGTGGAGAAAGTGCAAAGCAAAAAGCGCTTTCGGTGCCAACCGGGCAGCCGGCGGTCCCCATAAGCATCGTGCCCCCAAAAGCAAGGAGCCAGTTTTACCCGGGGGGTACTTCACATGGAAAACGAGGGTCGTGCCCTTCGTCAGCAAAGGGGGCTGCGCATCACTGCGGCGCAGCAGAGCTTGTGCAAGGGACTTTGAGATGGCGCAAGGGAGGTGCAACATTTGGGAGGTGGTGATGGACAGGCCAGGACAGCAAGATGGAACCAACAACTCTCCCCTCATCCTCTGCATCCCCTCAACCACTCTCCCCTCATCCTCTGCATCCCCTTCCAGCATCCCCTGCAATGGCTTCACCCCGACCCACCCACACCCTTCGTGGTCCTATTTTTATTTTTACTTTTTTTTTTTTTGGCTTATTTAGTTTGTTTTTAAACCCCATGGAGATCAAATTGTGACTTGGCAGCTAGCAGAGCTGACCCTGCCGGGCTCCCCAGACTGAGCGAAGATCTTGAGAAGAGACCAGAGTGAAGTCCTGGGGTGAGCAAAGCCCTCCCTGCCCCTCGCCCGGCCCCGCTGGCCGCTCACAGGGTGGCGGTGGGGTACTGCGCCCAGCCCACCTCCTTGTACGCCGCCGTCACGTGGGTGTAGATGAGGGTCCTCATCTTGGTCCAGGCACCGTGCGCCTCCGGGGTGAAGTCGTTGGCGTATTCTTCAGCAATGACCTCCAGCATGACACCAGTGAGTTTCTGGAAGGAGGCGGAGAGCAAGGGGTTAATAACTCTCCAGGGAGCAGCTAACAGCAAATTTGGGGTTTTCCTAAAAAAACCTCAATTTAATCCTGTGGCTGAGTTCTGGGAATGACAACCCTCTGCAGGACAGACAGACGTTCGGGAGGTCTGTCGACACCCCAGGGAACAGGCAGGGCAGGGGGAAGGCTGAGACCGCAGGCATGGCTGGGTTGCAGCATCTCCCTAATTTGTGCACCTCAAATTATTTAGTCCCTTCAATCATCCTCGATTTCTAAAAGAATGGACATAGGGCCACAACCACACCAGAGGGGCTGCAGGCAGGAAGGTTCCTCTGGGCAGGGCAAGGTATGTGATGCTCCAGCGTGGGCTGCGTTTGGGGACAGCGGTCTGCATGGGACAGCATCGCTTTGGGATACTGCAGCCGTGTGGGGAGCAACCCCCATGACCAGCCAACCTCCTCTGGAGGAGGACAGGCAGCACCCACTCATCACAGCTCCCTCCCTCCTGCCCTCTGCCTCTTTTCTAAAGCATCCCAGATAATATCTTTTCTTTTTTTTCCTCCCATCCTTTACCTTAAAGTAGATGGGCTCCACTTTGTGCTTGAGGGCATGGGCCTTGCCCACCAGGGCCAGAACAGAGGAGACCTTTTCGGAGTCATTGAGGTTCTCCACCACAGTGTTAATGGCACCCATGACCCGCCGAGCGTGCTTACGCAGTTGCAAGCTCCTCTCCATCTCCAGCGGGTCCTCCATGTGCTTGAACTGGCTGAAGTACTGCTTGGCCGATGGGAAGTTGACAAAAAACCTTCAAGAAAGAACGGACACGAAATACCATCAGGAGGGCGAGAGCAGGCTGAGAGCTTAAAGGAATGCATGGAGTGGTGAAGATGCTGCAACCCCCCCCCTGGATCTAACACAGCCAGGGCTGGTTTTCTCATTAAGTTCCCCGAGAACTGTGGCATTCAGCTGCCTAAAAATCATCAGGTTAATGCCTTTCTCCCAAACCTTTCTTATCTGCTACAAGAGCTGGCTATTCCTCTACAGAGCAGAGGCAAGACTGAGTTCTTGATAGCCAGAAACTCCACCCAGGCATGCCAGATGCTGTATACGTGCCCACATCCATCGTGTCCTGCCTCAGAGAGCTGGAGGTGAGCACGAAAACCTCTCTTTATCCCAGGCAGCCTTTCCCTGCCCCTCTTCCCCAGTCCCACACCAGCTTCTTGGCCCCACGGGCTTTATTCCTGCGTGACCCCGCAAAAGAGCCTCCCCCTGCCCAGGATGCCCCTGACCTTCACAGATCAGCCCCACCAGAGTCTCCAGCAAGATCTCAGCCCTGAGCTCACGTCACTGCTCATCTATGCCAGGAGCCATTTCCCCCAGCACGAGGACACCCCAAACACCCCGCCAACCCCTCTGAGGGGCCGAGGGCCCTCTTCTCTGACAGATTAAATCAACCCCAATGAAATGCAGCTGAAGCAAATGGAGCTGCGGTTGCAGCTGACACGCTGAGCCCCCCGGGGAGCTGGAGGAGGTTTGAAGGGCACGAGGTGACAAGGTTTAGCTCTGGGGACACAAATACCAGCACCACCGATGCCAGCACTGCAGCCAGTCGCTCTCAGCAGCCGGGGCTGACACTCGAGTCACATTAACCACCCCTTCCACCCAGTTTACAGAGCAGAGAACCGCGTCAGCATTTGCCCCCCTCTTTTCCCCAGGTCCCTCCCTCTAATGGGGCTCTCCCTGCCTCCTCCTGGACCCCCTTTTACCTGGGCCAGTGAAGGATGCTCAGGAGGTGGCAGAGGCTCCCAGGGCTGTCGCCCATCATCCCGGGCTCCACACAGATTGCCTCCTCCGTAACCCCCTCCCCAAGCACCATTCCAAACCACGGGAACCCATCCCACCCCTTTTCCCAACCATCCCCACCTCCCTCCAGGACTGGGTGGGATCCTCTTCCCCACTCACCACTCCAGGAATCATCACAATATTGAGGACCAGGCTCATTTACCACTTCATTATCCTCCTTTTCCCCCCCCTCCCTTCCTTCCCCGCTCCCTTGGCTTGTGGAGCTGGGGGGGCATTGCCAAGGAAGCAGCGCAAAGCAGTGCCCGGAGTGCACCGCCACTTCTGTTGCTTCCCTGAGGCATCTGGGATTCATCAGACAGCCCAAAATAGGTTTCGGAGGTGTGAAGAGTGTGCAGCGGAAAGGGTGGGGGAGGAAGGAAGGCGGAAGGGGGAGACAAGGTGTTGCTTTTGAAACCTGGAGGGGGACCCGTGACAAAACTCCTCTTGTTATTGTGCAGCCTCCCCGCCGGCAAAGCTCCTCCTGACACATCTGGTCCCTGTCGGGAGAAATCATTGCCAGGCACAGCTGTCTCCAGCTCCTGTCGCCACAGAGATGCTCAGTCCATACCCTTCAGCTCGGAGCTGTCAGAGAGGCGGTCAGGGATGGACACCGGTCCCCTGGCTGGGGGACTGGAGCCAGCTGAGGCCACACAGATAGCACCGTTCCCAGGATTCAAGACTTCTGCCCCAAGCATTTCCAAGCAGAAGGACATACATTCCTCTCTGTTTTGATGGGACCATTTTTTCCATCCCACCCCAGCATCCTTTCCACCAGTCCCATCCCTCTCCATCACCGGAGAAGTTGCTGCAGCCCCCAAGCTCACAGCTCCAGCCAGCCCCCTCCAGCTATCAACAGCTAACACCCCGCCGAGGTCGGAGCTAAGGGTTTTGCCATCCCTGCTAGTGGATCTCTTCTCCCTCACCCTCCGGATCCGGCAGGCATCCCCTCCGGGCGCTGGGAGCAGGGGGGTGCTGCTGGCAGTGGGACCTGCTGCCCACAGACTACCCCGAGGCAGGGGACGGAGGCTGCCAGCCGGTCAATGCACACCTAAGCCTCTGAATTCCAGACCATCGGAAGTTCTCTGAAAAGCCCTATTAGATCTCAGCTCAAGGGCGTGATGCTGTGAAGATCCAAGGAACGAACTGAGAAAAATTCCTGGGCTGAGCCAGGCTCTTTCAGAAAGGGTACAGCAAGGGGGGACCAAGCCCCGCATCGCCAGGAACCACAGCATCCCTCCCCCAAGAGAAGGGACAACAGGGGCCGATGCCCTTCAGGAGCAGAGGCTTCACACCTCTCCCACAGCATCACCTCCACCTCTCCGCTGCTTTCAGCTGCCTACACCAGGAGCAGAGATAGATTAACCCCAAAAAAGTTCCCAACAGGGGTGAGACCGGGCCAGTGAAGAACCCAAAGACTTGGTTTCCAACCTTCCTCCACTTTGCAGACCCTGGAGGAGATGCCCCCACGGGAGCTGAGCCCAGCAGCTTTCCTCAGGGACCTGCAAGAAGGACAGCAGTGGCGCTGGAGGGATGCAAAACCAGCAAACCCTGCCTCCTGCGCTCAACCCCACGTGCCGTCTGCTCGCTTTCACCGAGAACTGAAACAGGGGACCCCAAACCATCTTTGCTTCAAGTTGAAAAGCAAATCCGTGGCCAGCCAGAGACCTGCAGCCGTCTCTCCTTGGCCAGTGCCTCTCTGCATGGCTGGAGAAAGGCAGGTGCCTGCGGCAAGAACTTCTGGCCTGGAGCAAATATTTAAGTTGTCGAACCAAGAAAAAGAGGGAAAGA